CCCTGCTCTAGCGAAACCTTCGCGAACGATTCGACGATCCTTGTTGTCATCCTCTTTCTCAGCTCTGCCTTCGCTTTGTTTTCTCCCTCTCCTGTGTCGTGCTTTCGGACTCGACCGGATCGAGGCTCGCGGTTCCGGAACGACGAGTCTCGCGAAAACCCAGGGAAAACCCAGCCTTTCTTTCTCAGCCGTCACCTCCCCTCCCCTCCCCTCCCCTCCCCACCCCGTGAAATGAAAATTTCCTAGTTTCCACGACTAGCCGCGCTCGCGTGCCTCCGTTTCTAACGCTGAAACAGCGGCAAACTGATGTCAAAGTGATGTCAACGTTTGTGACATGCAAATACGATCGTCGTAAGACGAGTTACGAAGGTTTAAAATTTCTACAGAGTCAAACGATTTTTCTTTCGTAAAGCGTACAGCGTGAAAAGCATTCTCCTCGTCAATGTGTCTCTTCGGCTTTGACATCACTGGCAATGGTCACTGGTTTCGATCGCCTGGTTCTAGCGCTAACTCGCTGCTTTTCGCCCGGTTGTCGTTTGGTTTCTCCACTCCGCTTCCCGGTCGACGAGTATCAACTCGCCACTCCGTTTCCCCCGTTCAAGGTGTTGGACAAACACAATGCGCTTTCGCAACGCGGCGTCCGCTGCATCCACGTCATTGTTCGCGTCCGCCGTGCGTGAACGCACCACCGTGACCAGAGCGTCGTCGTTTTTCGTTTCCATCGCCATCTCTGACACGCGCGTATCTCCCAGCTTTTGCCCATCAACCCTCGATCGTTACCCCTCTCCCCCAAACGAACGAACGTTGTTGCGTCGCAAGACTACAATTAAAAGTTAGCTTATAGCTTCATTCGAACGAGACGAGAGTCAGTTACTCCACTCCCGTCAAACGTTCAAAATCCCACCAAAGTGTCCCCGCATGTCAACTGTTTGCACTCTTTTTCCAGTTGAGCGTCCATCGCTTAATTCTTAGTAATTCTTAATTCTTAGTAATCGGTACTATTCTAACTCTATGGAGAACGCGGCGAAACACAAGCGATACGCACGATATATCGATCCACCGATACCGATACATCGATGAAACAGTCGACACGCTCGTTCCCACTGTTTCCCTCGGTGCCAATTCGCAGAATACAATACTGTACACGCGTACTGCTACTGCCTGTGCATCCTTTTTACCGCGCTTATACACAGGGTGGGCCCAAAAATCATTTCCTATTGAAATAAACGAATTGCAATGATTTCTTTCGTGCGTGTATTTCATATACGCAGTTGGCTACTTTCTCGTATTTTGACGTTTTCGTTGGAAAAGAAAGTTTTGGCCCACCCTGTATGTTCTTTCCGATTCGTACTTTGGTCAAAGTACAATAGGACGAGACTAATTTGTAAACGAACGTCGCGAATCCTGCGACATACGTACCCTGTTTTTTTTCTTTCTTTTTTACTCAATCGTCAGGCTCGATTCTCTCTCTCTTTTTCAACGCCCAATTATCTACGGCCGAAACTCTCAGTCGATTTTCGCGAGAACGAGGCTTGGCTGCGCTCTATCGATCTTCCCGAAGAGTCAACGGAAAGTCTCTGAACCGGTGTTTCGACAAATTTTCTGGGTTAAGGTGTACTCGAGGTAAAACGAGCCCGTCGCTCGTCGCTCGTCGTCTTCTGGCACGCGGCCGAAAGGTGTGGATTTTCCAACCGCGTAACCGCGTCGTTTTTAGTGTCATCGGCCGAAATACGCGACCTCTTCCTCTCCCTCCATTCTCCTCCTCCTCTTGCTCCTCGTTTTTCCCCCATTTCGTTGCTCGCCTCTGTTCAGAGAGACGCGAACGCGAGTCAATTTTCTCCCCATCCCCGGCCCCGCCGGTTTTCATCGCCGAGCGAACGCAAACGCGAAAGAAAACGTACGAGCAAGCAGCACACAGACCGTGTGCTCGATCGAAGCAACGCCCCATCAGCCAGAGAGCTTTCGGTTTGGGACGCGTTCGCTTCGCCATGTTCGAATCGTCGCGTTCGATTCGTCTCGATTCTCTTCGATAACGTTCGAAAACGGATCTTTTACGCTTTGCGTTTCTTACGAATCGAACGCGACGCGTCTAATCGATAACTACCAAGTCAGAGTAAACGGAGAGAGAGAGAGAGAGAGAGAGAGAG